TTCTTTATATCTAACAAACACTCTTTGTAAATAATCTAGCATCAGTTTGGTGGCATTCATAATTAGAACAGATCAATACAAGAGAATAGGATAAAAAAAAGACAATGTTTTCATCAATGGTTAAAGTGTTGGACAATCATATCTGACCTTTTGGTTGTTTTCTTTCACTTATAAATGAAGTCATGGGTCAGGAAAGGATATAGATATTGTGACAGATATAAAAACTGTTGAAAAAGTTCAGTACATTTTTAGAAGAACTTGTAAATGTGAAAGGTTTTAAGAATTCCCTTTTCAAACCCATCTGTGGGTTTTCTCTAAAGACTTAGAGTTATTTACAAAAAGGAGAATTCAATGTAAATTCATCGTAAATGTCATATTTAAGATTTGGAACCATAGCTGACTTAGCTAATTTTTCCATTTGACCCTAAATTTTAAATTCCATTTGAATTCTCTCTTTAGTAAATAATCCCTTGAACTTTATGCCATAGTTCAACATTAACAGAAGATTTCTGATAAAATCAGTAATTATCAACTGGTATTTAGCTAATTCTTAAGAATTTGGACTTGGTGATTGGAGAGTCAGTTTATTGGCATTGTATCAATCCTTCAGTGTATATTGGAACACAGTCAGGAATTTTCAAATCAAAGACCGAACAACACAGAAATGTGTTTAGTTTGCCAAAGCTGTTATCAAGATATTCGGCTAGAAGACTTCTGCAAATACTCATGTTTCACAAATCTGCAAAGATTCTTGTTGCTGAAAACCACAGCCTTTTGTTTACAAATAGATAAAAAAAGAAAGAAATCAGCACTTGTACAATATTGATATAGTCCAGAGACAGGCAACCTTTGGCACTCCAAATGTTGTGGACTACATCCCCATAATGCTCTTACACCCATATTGCTGGTAAAGCATCACTGCAGCTGTAGTCCAAAACATCTGGAGTGCCGAAGGTTGCCTATGCCTGATATAGTCTAAAGGTAGCTTACCAAAAATGGAGTATCTCTTGTCCAATATTGGGTAGGATAAAACAGGAAAAGGTGTGGCCCCTGATGTGTCCTTCCTTTATGGAATGTATGTAACGAAAAAAAAAAAAAAAAAAGGAAAAACAAAAAAGACTGATAGTGTAGTAAGTTAGAAACTTACTTAGAGTTAGGAAAATTAAAAAATGTACACACACATATAAAAGAGAAATAAAAAAACACAATAGTGTGTACCATAAAATAAGAGTGAAAGTAATAAAAACCTACTCACATGCTTCAGAGCAAAATGAGGTTTACTCAATCCAGTTGTCTTACGTGGTATTATCCCCACCAAGGATACATAGTTCAGCATTCAGCAGCAGAAGATCAGGTCCAATAAAAAGTACTTTTATTGTTTAAAAACCAATAAATTCAAAGATAAAAGGTAAAATAATTATATAGAACAGTATAACAGTACACTTAATGTGTTTCTCCTTGAACAGGCTTTATAAAAAGTGTTTTACAGAATGAATGGGACCTGTGCTGTTTAAATGGGAGTATAATTTTAAAAATAACTGTTTTCTGACATTACAATCACATAACTAAGTTTTTTTCCCTTGGTATTAACTAATATCTCCCTCTATAGACATTATTGTGAAAAACTAAGATAAGATACGAGAACAATTTCTCTTAATAATAATTATTATATATATATATATATATGCACAGACAATATTAGATAATATGAATAAATATAATATAGAGGGAAAACAACAGCGTAGATGGGTATAGAAAAAACAAAGATGATATCAAGAAAGATGAAGTACATGGTAGTAAAAGTACAAGGATTAATAACAGATGTACATTATATAAATAGTACAAATATAATGACACAGGTTAAGAATGTTTTATTTGCACAGGAGCACATATTACTTATTTACTTATTAATAATTTCCAACATGTAGAGCATTTGCTTTATTAGTAAAAGTTATCTAATCTTTTCAATGCTTTGTTTTGCTTCTGTGGAGTCATGAGAATGGCAGTTATATAGATGCATTTGCAAGATATAACAACTGTTAAAAAAGATTTAGAAATTGATCGTCTTTGAGAAGTTTCTCAAGTAAAAGGCATTAGGTTTGCCTCCCTCGAAGCTATCTCGAGGATATTGACCATAGTCTGAAATTACCTTTGAATTATTTTTGGCATTGTTAGAGACTGTTGGGAACCAACCAGAATCCTCATAATCAAGGACTGACATGCAAAAGTTGCTACATAGAAATAAGGTCTGTAGAAGATGTTTTCAAGAGTGACTGTTGCAATAAATATGCACGGATTCTCACAACATTAACTCACAGCTTTTGGTTTACAACGTTACATCTGCAACGTCTTGCAAAAGCATTCAGCCACAGACAGATAATTGCTTCAACATCAGTGAGGAAGTGTACCAATTGGCCTTCTTCTTTGCGGTGAAAGGATAAATACCTACCTACCTACGATACATCAGAAACTGAGGCTACTCTGAGTAGAGCTCTAAAGATCCAAAGATTGTAGCAGAGGATTCTTTAACATGTAAGTTATTTGTACAAGAACATACACTTACCTTTTTCATACACATAAAAAACAAACAAAATAATCACTATTAATCTGGTATATTTAGCAATTTTTTTTGCTAAAATAAGTTTTAACTTTTTTTTTGTTCATACTTTATTTTGTTTGTTTTGTCATCAACATGCAAGCTTAACTTAAGTAGAGAAAATTATTATTTCACCATTTACTCATTTACTAATATTTTCTTGCCTAAATAATGTTTTCAATTCTGTTTTTGTGTATGAAGATTTTTTTAAATCCCCAAATGATGAATTTAGTGACACTAATCATAATCTAGAAAGTTGACGAGTTCTGATACTCCTTGAGTCTTGCAGTCAGAGTCTCGGATAGAAATAAATAAAAAAAAATTCTGTTTTTCAGAAATATATATATAAAATTAGTTTAGATTTTTCTATCCTTGTTTAAATCTGGTACACATTCAAAGAGTATCATGATATAGTATGTAGGCAATCTGTCGCTATTTCTTTTTCATATATTATTATGTGACTGAGGCAATTGTGTTATGCATTAACAAAGGAAATGTAAATTTAAAAATATTTTTTTCCCTTGTGGATCATCTGTCTTTAATTCATTGGGGGTACGTATTTTGTGACTTTTTAGACCCATTTGACTCCCTTATTCTTTATGGTTTTTTTTTGTCATCTTCTTGAGTAACAATTGTAACGTATGCCATTGTAAAACCATCTGCCATTTTTATTTTAAAACAATTCTACATTATTATATTTACTCAAACAGTTATGCATTTTTGTAATTACATTTGTTGATTTCATCTAAATATATTACATTTTGATGCAGCCAACAACTGTCAAGTGGGAACAAGACATTCTTGGCAGGTTCTGTAATTAACACAGTCATTAAACCTACAATAGTGATTACTTATAAGTAACTTTGCCCACTTCTTTTTCAGATTTGATGATAAAACTGAATATGGCTCAAGAAATATGTATTTCCTTGATGGATGTTTTCTTTGATCCTGAGATCAGAGATTTAGCTCTGAACATAGACAACCCATCAGCAATCCAGTACTCCAGCTTCGTGTTATCGATAATCACTTGTATCTTAGGGTTGTTGGGAAACACAGTTGTTATCATTGTCATTGGATTTGTGATGACAACTTTTAAATCCAGAATCTGGTTCCTAAACTTGGCGGTGGCAGATTTGATGTTTCTCCTGGTTTTACCACTTAATGCTGTGTCTGTATTAAGAGCAAACTGGTCTTATGGAAATCATATCTGCAAAATTTACAATTTCCTTTCCATCGTCAATATGTACGCCAGTATTTTCCTCATTACGGCTCTAACTATTGATCGTCTACTTTCAGTGGTAAAACCAATCTGGTATCACATGTTCTATTCTCCTCGTGTTTGTTACTGTATCTGTGCATCTATTTGGGTTTTAACTCTACTCTCTAGTATTCCAGTGATAGTATACAGCAATGAGCAGGAAAATGAAGGATCTACAATTTGTAGTTTATTTCCTTCTGACATTAACACTTTATCTCTTTTAAGTCAAAACATACTTAATTTAACCAATCCAGAAGATGGTAACCAATACACAGAGATAATATGTTTTTTGTACGCTAGTGATCTTGAGTCTAGTGAATTTGTAGAAATTTGGAATGAGATTCTATTTTCAACACGCAGCTTTTTAATCCCTCTTCTTGTAATTGGCTATTTTATTCCATTTTGTGTTATCCTATGCTCAAATGTAGCAATTACTTTAAAAGTAAAAAGATATAAGCACATTAGATCATCCAAGCTATATGGAATTGTAGTTGCTGCGATCATAGCTTTTTTTCTCACACGGACACCACTTGTGATAGCCCAGCTCTTCCTTCTAACTGCTACTCAAAATATAAACTTTTCATCAGTGTTTAAGATTGTTTTGTTATCACCGCTTCTGTCCAGCATAGCTAACCTGAACTGCTGCCTAAATCCCATCATCTATGTGTTTCTCGGGAGTGAAGTAATGGCTGTGTTTACAAATATCCTCAACCGAGTACGATATCGATTTACTACTCGTTCATCCTCTGCACCAATCACTCCCACATTAATAGAAATGTCATCATGTTATAGTGACAGAGTACTTTGAAATGACGGTTTCTTAAAAAGCAATACATCTCAGCTCCATTAGTAAATATTTTTTTTTCTTACATAGATAACTTTCTTTTTTTTCAGAAGATACAAAAATATATTAATTCTCATAAAGCCAAATAATCACAAGTAACAATCTTAAATAATTTTTTCATACAAAGTGTTTTATACACATACTCTGTATCTATTATCCTTGTACATATTCACTAAACTAACAAACAAACTTAGACAAACAATTTTGGTTCAGTGTGATGTCTTCTCCTAATTCACTATCCAATTCTCGTATGGCCTGAAAAGGTATAATGGGTATCTAAGACTAATTCTTTCATGCCTGGTGAAATATATAAAATATAGATAACTTTCTGTTCCACGAGTCCAAAATCTTTCTTGTGCGCTGCAGTTCAATTAATTTGCTGTCAGTCTCTTGCATTCCGTTTTCTATTCTCTCTCTCTTTTTCGCCTTCTCTCTTTCAGTCTGTTTATACTTGCTGTTATTGGGGATATGAAATCAGATTGATTCAGTATATAAATATTTGAAAGTTCTACAGGGCAGATTATTGAAATATAACATTCTCATCTCCAATTTTATGATTAATATAAAAAAAATATTCACTTTCATTGAGCTTCGTAGTGCCTACAGATTATGAACATAGTTATAAACTAAGCAAACCCTAAGCTGTTCTTTTATAGTAGTGTAGAGGTAAAGCCAGAGTCTTGTAACGCAAAGGATTTAAATCCACGTAAAGACTTTTTTTGATGCTTAATATAAACAAGTATTCATAACGCTAGTGGTAAACAATCTGTGTAGATCCCCACCCCTACCCCACCTCCACTGGAGTTAAAAGATAGTTTACTTACCTTTTCTCCAACGCTGCACCAGTCTTTCAACAACTTGCTCCACCTCTCATCAATCTTGATAATCTCAGCCAATCCAATGCTTTCCCATAAGAAAAACGCAAAACACGGCACTAGGCAAATCAGCATTAACTTATTGAATCAAAGCATCTCTATGGGGACCATTTAGTATCTACATGAAGAACGTGCAGATGCTGAACATAAGTGCGGCACTGTGTGCAGCACTGAGATAGGAAGCACCTCTAAGGGCCATCTGAGTGACTGCCAATAGAGGTGTTACTAGGCACCAAATAAACAGTGCCTTTTCTCTAAAAAAAGGCAGCTTTTAAATTGAGCAGCCTCCAGGGACAGGCTATAGACACCAGAACCACTACATTAAACATTAGTGGTTCTGGTGTCTATAGTGTCCCTTTAACAAATACAAACTCTTATTAAATCGAAACTACATTGTGGTCTTACTATTCAGGATTTTGCTGGAGTAGCTATCGAAGACTGAAATAGCTGATATAAGATAATCAGACAGCCTGATTGTTTGACAGTGAGGTCAGTAAAACGATGTGCAGGGATAAACTTGGTAAAATTTTGTCTTTATGCTAATCAGGCATCTTTAAGTCTTTCTTGCTTTAGAGTTTGCAAAGAGCAATAACTGATTATGTCATTTCACTGTGCAGCAAGGAAGACCGTAGAGACTAACATTCACATTCCAACAATATCTAACTGAGGGTAGATGGCACCTCCTGTGTGAGATTATTAAAGTTCTCACACAAAGCTTCACAAGAGCCAGAGAGTCAGATTTTGGGACCTATTGTGGTAGACTGTGAGTGTCTGATATTATTCATATAATTTGTAAAATATCCAGTATTTAATAATGTTATATGTATTTTTTGTTTTGTTTTTTACGAACATGCGTTTTGATGTATATCTTTCATGGCTTCCAATATGCTCACTGTGTCCACAATGATTCTCTGAGATTGGACACTGCCCAGTTTGAACAACAAAAAAGGGGGATGGATTAGCTTAGCAGCTGAATTTGTAGAAGAGATAAGACTTTAAAGACTTCAGAAAATAATTTTGAAAAACTAAAACTCCAACAACAGTCCAGTCACTTTTAATAATAAAAAAGACTTTGAACGTTTGTTTTGCTTTAAGTGGAGTCACGAGAATGGAAATCATATAGTTGCAAATGCAAGATATAACGACTGTTGAAATAGATCTGGAATCTGATATTCTTTGAGATGGTTCTCAAGTTATAGACCCTGACTTTGCCTGCCTCAAATTTCCCTTGGTGACATTGAATAGGGTCTAAAAATATCCTCTGATTTACACAATTAAGAGAAGATTTCTGAATGTGACCAATCGTTTCCAAACAGAAATCTACATTTTGGACTTTGCAACACCAAAGTTAGTTCCTGCCACTGTTAGAGTCTGTTTATTGAGAACTAGCCAGATGGATCCTAATACAGGAATTAGAGACAAATATTGGTATCCACAAATTACTTCTGTAGAAGATGTTTTTAGAAGCCACTGTTCCATAAAAGGGCACGGATTTTCTCAAAAAAAATCAACTCACAGCTTTCAGATGACAAGGTTACATCTGCAAAGTGTTGAAATAAAATTCAGCCACAGATTGATAAATGTACATTTTCCTGAAGAAGTGGCAAATTAGTGAGGAAGTGTACCAACTTGCTTTCTTCTGTATGGTAGAGAGATAAGTACCCACCTGCCCTGCTACCATACGTCAGAACTTGAGGCTCATGTGGGAGCCGAGTTCCAGACTGGTAGAAGAGAATTCTGTAACATTTCAGTTATTTGTACAAGAACATACAGTTACCACTTTCAAAATTAAAAACACTAGTACAATTTATTTAAAATTTACTGATCATCTCTGTTAAATTCTGCCATGTATTTTTACTTTTTATTTTTTATGTTTATTTATGTTTGGCAGTATTGACGGTACATTTATTTGGTCTTCAATACCCAAGCCCAAATCAATAAAATTGGATTTTTGCAATTTTGCAATTCTGCTTTTGTTTAAGGAGATTGCATTTTCAATAAATCCTCAAAGGATAATTTTGGTGACACCAATTGTAATTTATGCAGTGGATGAGTTCTGATACATTTATTCAAAGCTCTCCTAAAGTCTTGAAGTCAGAGACCCAGAGACAAACAAACATGTATTATCTGTGTCCAGTAAAGTGAGACCACAAAGTAAATACAAAGTTAATTTCAAATTTAAGGCACAAAGGTATCCAAACTGAAAGCATAGCCGTATTAGAGAATTTTTCCAATTCAGCTATTTTTACCTTGAATTTGAAATTCACTTTGAATTTTCACTTTAATGGATAACCCTGCCAGTCTTCTGAGATTAGTTTTTGACATTTATGTTGGCAATCTGCCACTATTTTTTTTTTTTTACATATTATTGATGTAACAGAGGTAATGATTATAGTATTAACAGAGGTAAAACAATAATAATAATAATAATAAAAAAGCTATGTTCTTTGTGGGTCTTCTTTCTTTAATTTATAGATTGGCGTTGGTTTAAAGTTTGTCCCTTGTAGACCAATTTGACTCTATTATTTCCTAAATTGTGTTTATTTTGCATTCGGTCATGTTTTGTAATGTATGCCCTTTTAACCCCAGCTGCCATTTTTATTCTGAGATGATTATACATTATTATATTTTAATATAAATAAATATTTATGTATGTTTGAATTAAAATTTGTTGATTTCAATAATAGTTTTCCTTCACCTTTACCTTTACATTCATCTTGCTCTCACTAACTAAACACCTGTTAACGATGTATCCCAAATGCTGATGCCAACACCTGTGGGGTACAGCCTTATAGATAGACCCTCTAGTAAGGGTTACGATCTGTCCAACGAACCTGCATACCACAACCTTTAAGGGCATTGGTTACACCTTTTGGGAATGAGCTCTATTACAAGCCCCTCTCCAAGAAAGGCTATGGACATCATATTAACAATTCATAACAGGGCTCAAACAGCCACGAATAGACATGCCAAATACGAACCCTCATACCGTAACAAATTTGTCACATGTGCCCTACTTTTTTAAGGTTCAATTTTGTTATCTTTCTGGTTATCTGTTTTCTACATGTCTTTATATATAATCCCTCTGTTTCTGAGGAAATGGCCATGTGACAAATTTGATGTTTCTCCTGGTTTTACCACTTAATGCGGTGTCTGTATTAAGAGCGAACTGGTCCTATGGAAATCATATCTGCAAAATGTACAATTTCCTTTCCATCGTCAATATGTACGCCAGTATTTTCCTCATTACGGCCCTAACTATTGATCGTCTACTTTCTGTGATGAAACCAATCTGGCATCACATGTTCTATTCTCCATGTGTTTGTTACTGTATCTGTACATCTATTTGGGTGGTATAAGCCGCCTCCCTACCATAAGGTACATAGTCACTGTAAACCAAGGAAAGGATACAGCTGCCGAGGGCCTACCTAGCAGTACCTCGGCACATCTAGAAACATTTTTTTCCTACACAAACCACCAAAAGGTCAAAAAGGCTGCTAGGAACCCTGCACTACAAAAAGCTACAGTCCTGCTTGGCCTAATAATTCCCACATTACTTCGGCTCTCCACAATGGTTTGCCTGCATACCAAAGAAAATAGTCCACACTAAAACTTCAGAATCAAAAACATATTACTACATATTCAGCTGCATTCATTCATAACACAAGCAGAATTCCTCAAAATATTTAAACTTTTTTTTTTATAAGGTTAACACACTAGGGAACTTCAAAATTTTACTTTGCCACAGCTTGACCAAAATGTTGCCTACCTCTGCACTAACCAGTAAATTGTAGGTCAAAATTGTTAAACTGGAAACATTCTCCAGTCTATTTTTTAATGTCTGCTATTTTGGCCCAATATTTGCAATTCCTTTGTCAACATTCCACAATTCTCAGTTTCATGAATAATACCATAAGCCTATTTGTATGAATGCTCGCTTGTATTTAACAATTTGTAGACTAAATCTGAATACACGTGTGTAAATTTGTGAGCAGTGTGAATGTATGGATTAACTTTGGTGTATTGTAGATGTGTGTAAATGTATGGATGTATTTGTGTGTAATGTAATGTGGTTGCAATTGTCTATATTTTTCTGTAGTATCTGTATTTGTGGGTTAATGCAAAACTAAACGTTCATTTTTGTTGAGGGGTTTTAGAAGTTCATAGATTGTAAGCTCATTCATGGATTGTAAGCTCTTTCAGCTAGGCCTTCTTCCCCTCTTGTTGCTGTTATATTCTGTATTTTAATTAATTGCTGTCAGCTATCTCCATTTTATAATTGTAAAGCTCTGATGAATATGTTGGTGCGATATAAATGCCAATAATATTAATGTAGTGTCAGTACTTATGCATAGTAAAATTGAGTATGAATTCAGACCATAGTTGCGGTTTGCATACGTTTCTGGACAAATGCATGTGTGAATTTGTTGTAGTGTCAGTCTTGTGAACTTGTAATGCACAATGTTTTGGTTGAGGAGGAGCGTTTATGCTGAATGACAGTGTACCTGGGACTCTCGGTTCCATAATCAAAGATTCCGAGTGGAAAATATAAATTCTGTACAACATCAGTAATTTTTACAACTTACATATACATCCTTTATATCGGACAAACACTTTTTGTAAAAAATCTGACATCAGTCTGGTGATATTTATGATTAGAACACATCAGTAGAAGAGAGTAGTGTAAAAAAGAGTGTTTTCATCAACGGTTAAGGCGTTGGACGATCATATCTGAACTTTTGATTATTTTCTTTCACTTATAAGGGTAGTCATTGGGGTGGTAAGGATATAGATATTTTGAAAGATATAAAAACTGTTGAGAAAGTTCATGAAATTGATAGACTAGAGGAACTTGCAAATGTGAAAGATGTTAAGATTGGCCTTTTCAAACTTCTCTGTGGGTTATCTCTAAAGACTTATTTACAAAAATAAGAATTCAATGTAAATTCATAGTGAATATCACATTTAAGAATTTCAGGGATAGCTGACTTAGAGCATGTTTCCAGTACAGTTCTTTTCCCTTAAAGGACCACTCTAGGCACCCAGACCACTTCAGCTTAATGAAGTGGTCTGGGTGCCAGGTCCAGCTAGGGTTAACCCATTCTTTCATAAACATAGCAGTTTCAGAGAAACTGCTATGTTTATGAATGGGTTAAGCCTTCCCCTATTTCCTCTAGTGGCTGTCTCATTGACAGCCACTAGAGGCGCTTGCATGCTTCTCACTGTGATTTTCACAGTGAGAGCACGCAAGCGTCCATAGGAAAGCATTATAAATGCTTTCCTATGCGAGGGGCTGAATGCGCGCGCAGCTCTTGCCGCGCGTGCGCATTCAGCCCAGGAGGAGGAACGGAGGAGGAGAGGAGGCAGAGAGCTCCCCGCCCAGCGCTGGAAAAAGTAAGTTTTTAACCCTTTCCCCCTTCCAGAGCCGGGCGGGAGGGGGTCCCTGAGGGTGGGGGCACCCTCAGGGCACTATAGTGCCAGGAAAACGAGTATGTTTTCCTGGCACTATAGTGGTCCTTTAAATTTGAAATTCACTTTGAATTATCAGTAAATAAACCGTTGGATTTTAACGCTGTCTGACTGATGGCGCATGTATATGGCACCTCCTGCGTGAGATTAAAGTTCTTACACAAACCTTTACATGAAAAAACAAGAACAAGAGAAGCAGATTGTGCGACCTATTGTGTTATAATGTGAGTATGTGATATTATTTGTATAATATGTAAAATATCCAGTATTTAATAATGTTATATGTATTTTTATTTTTATTTTTTTTTTACAAATATGTATTTTCGTGTATATCTATTATGTATTCCAAATGTGCTCACTGTGTCCACAATGACTCTCAGTGTGATGACTGAGATTGGACACTCCCCAGTTTGAACAAAAAAGTTAGTGCTGGTCAAAAAAAGGGTTGGATTAGCTGAGCAGCTGAACTTGTAGAAGAGAAGACTTGAAAGACTTTAGAAAATAATTTTGAAAAATGAATGCATATTTTTTTTATTTTAACTGCCTTGCTCAAGTTCATTAAATATGATACATTTTTTAATGTATATGTTCACTTTCATGAACTTGCATAAGAATATACATTTACATCCTTTAAAATTTTCAGTTTTTTTTTATTAAACTATTATTATAAAGACAGAACAAAACAATATTTTGAAACAAAATGATATACATTTAAAATATATTGTAAAGAAAGGGGGGACAATATTGAGGGGGAAGGCGAAAATTCCATTCACATATCTAATAAATACTTTTAATATTAAAAAAGACTTTGATCGTTTGTTTTGCTTTAAGTGGGGTCACACGAATGGCAATTATATAGATGCATTTGCAAGACCCTGACTTTGCCTACCTGAAATCTTCCTTGGTGACATTAATTAAGGTCTGAGATATCCTCTGATTTACACAATTAGGAGAAGATTTCTGAATGTGACCAATCACTTCCAAATAGAAATCTACATTTTGGACTTTGCAAAACCACAATTAATTCTTGTCACTGTTACTTGTCTGTTTATTGGGAACCAGCCAGAAGCCCCCTAATCAAGGACTTACAAACAAATATTGTTATCCAGAAATGAAGTCTGAAGAAGATGTTTTCAGAAGCCACTGTTCCATAAATGGGCACAAAGTCTCCAAAATTTTATAAAATATTTTTG